CCCCGCTCCCCGCCAGATGCGACACGCACAGCTATCCTTCAATACTGCTGAACACTCCCTGGAAGGCAGAGCCACCCTTACACACCGCGCCTCACCTCCCGGAGGATTATGTGTCCTGATTTCAGAAATGAGGACAGAGCGGCTCTCAGGAGTAATTAATGACTGTGACGCAAAGAGGCAGCGGGCAGAGGTTGAAGCCAGTGACACCCCAGGCCACAGGGACAAAAAGCCCCAACGGGGGCGACAATGATGTGACTTACTTTCTGAAGCTCTTCGGCAAATGTGTGGCCTTTTTCTGTGATCAACTCCATGGCAAACCTAGGAGGAGAAGGGAAAATTAGCCCCTGACAGAATGCTGTGGGGCCGCAAGATAACGTGACCGATGGCGGTGGCCGTCCTGTTGGCAAAGAGAACACCACGGCGTCAGGGGTATTGGCCTCCTAAAGCGCTTTCATTATATTCCTTATCCCCAGCGGGCTGTTCCTTTCTGCCCTTGCTCAAGCTGGCCCTGCTGATACAGTAGGAGCAGGTGACCTGGGGTCTGTCCGGCAGGAGACAGAGACGTGTGCTGTGCACCACAGCGCCAAAGTTAGGAATGAGGGGAGCATGACCTGTCCTTGACATGGTGAAGAGGAAGAAGGTGGGGCTTTGAAGGATGAATAGGAGCTCCTTGGTAAGTAGGATAGAGGAGGAAACAGCTTCCCAGACATAGCCGTAAACACTACACGCCCCTCTTGTACCCGCGAGGCCTGGGAGGGAACAGATGGCGGCGCACTGGAAGGATTCCTGGTGGACAGACTCTCAAAGGGACAATTCTCGGAGATGCGAGCACAGACCCCGGAACGATGGCTGACGGGAAACGGCGGCAAGAGCAGAAGGCTGGGGAGGCGAGAGAGGGGACACCGGTGCACCCTGAACTCAGGGGGCCACCAGCAGGCTCCGCACAGCAGGGGAGGCTCTGCCAGGGCCACGCTCAGCTGGCAGGCAGTTTGTCCATGCTCCCGGGGTGTCCCTCACACACTTCCTCTCTCCCAGCGCCCACAGCTGCCTCCCATCGCTGGACCCTTGTGGATGCCAGAAGACCAGGACATGGGAGGTAGGAGTGGCAGGTCCTCTGGTCAAGTGCCCAGGCAGAGAGGCCAAGAGGACAGGCAAAGGACCAGCAGGGGGAGCAGCAAACCATCTTCCAATCAGGACAGAGCACGCATGCGCACAGGCTTGCAGGCCCACATGCACGCATGCGCACAGGCTTGCAGGCCCACATGCACACAAGCGGTCCAGTGCCAGCGTCTGGCTCCCTGAGTGACAAGGGAAGGCTGTGCTGGCCGGGACACATCCCTGTCATCACTGTCCATGCACTCCTGGCACCGGGCAGCCATGAGCCTAGAAGTTACCGGGGCAATGATCAATGATAAGGATAAGTGTAAACAGTACTAGTGCTTGTGTTAAGTACAGTCCTGGGGTAGACGCAGATTTACTGAAGTGATTCATAAGAACAGAGGGAAAGTACTGCTATGACCATTTCACAAAACAGTAAACTGAGGTTCAGAACAAGGGTGTCTGGTTTGATCTGAAGTCGCACACCTAGCAAGCGGGGATACAGGATGTGAACACAGGCCTTCCTGATTCCTACACATGTGGGACCACAGGGCCAGGCAGGGTCTTGAGGAGCAACACTCAGGCCTGTCAGCATTCACACCCTCAGTGTGGCTGGGCACAGCCACCCACATGGTCATCCTCACGCATTTGGCCTTTTCCACCCCACAGTGTCAGGATGTGACTGGTTCTGACCAGTGCAACGGGAAGGAGAGGTCACACAGGAAGCTTCTGGAGCCGGCACGAGCCTCACCAGGATCTGCACCACCACAGACAGGTGCCTCATCAGCCTGGGATCCACAAAGGCCATACTTGGCAGAGGTACAGGGAGCATGCCACGTCTCGCAGTGAGGGCGGGAAATAATCCTTCAGTGGGCTAAGAACCGGGGGTGGGAGTGGACGGCAATCACTGAGTAAGCCGTTCAACCTTTGGCACACTTTAAAATCCACATTCACGAGGAGGCCACATCCAAGGTACTGCAGATCACCTGGGCTCACCTCTTTCCCTCACTGCCTGTCTCCTGATGGCTCACGAGTGCTCAGAGTGACAGGGCCAGGGATGGTGAGAAGGTCGCTCCCTGTGGTGACCGAGGGACAGGCCCACTACAGCCTGCAGCCCCATGGAGCTGACCAGCCTGGGCTAACAGCTCGTACAGACCCACCCAGGCAATCTTCAAGACTCCCCGGCACCCAGGAGAACGTCAGAGTGATGGCTGTCACGGATGCCCCCGGCTGACTTCACATCAAGGCCCATTCCTGCCCCTCTTACCCAATAGCCGAACTTAATTCATCTGTGGTTCCCACGGCCTCAAATACTCGGTCATCTTTAGGTCTCCGTTCTCCTGTGAAGGTGCTGGAAAACCCTGGGGACGATATTTACCACATTAAGATTTGGGGGTTGCCTGAGGGGGAGGGGCAGGAGCTGGAGGGATGGCTCAGTGGTTAAGAGCACTGGCTGCTCTTCCAGAGGACCCAGACTCAGGTCCCAGCACTCATGTGGCAGCTCACAACCATCTGTAGCTCTACTTCCAGGATCTGATGCCTTCTTCTGGCCTTCTCAGGCATCAGGCATGTACATGGTACATATACATACACGTAGACTTTTTGTTTGTTTTTGTTTTTTCAAGACAGGGTTTCTCTGGGTAGCCCTGGCTGTTCTGGAACTCACTCTGTAGACCAGGTTGGCCTCGAACTCACAGAGATCCACCTGCTTCTGCCTCCCGAGCGTTGGGATTAAAGGTGAGCGCCACCACTGCCCGGCCAAAAAAATGATTGTAAAAACAGATTTTTTCCTGGCATACTTTAAATGTTTGTTTTATTTCATGCATATAGGTGTTTATTTGCATATATGTCTATGCACCATGTGCGTGAAGTGTCCTTTTGGCCACTACCACCAAAGGTGTCCCCTCTGCTCCCTGGCATCCTTTTAGTTTAGACTTAGGGGCCACAAATGAAGCCTCCTGTTTAAGAAGTGAAGCACCTGGGTATCACCCCCTCTCTCAGTCTATCATGTCTGGACCTCAGCCTAGGTCACAGCTCCTGCCTGGCTTTGGTGCTGGCTAGCCACTCAGACAGTCCACTGCATTGTTGTTACACACAAATAACTCCCCAGAGCACCACAGAGATACGTCTCGTGGCTGTGATAAACCAACCTCAACAAATCAAAAGATCCGTGCCTGAGCAAAAGTCACACAAAGACGACCAGGCATCAGCTCTCCTGGCCAATGAGAATGGCCGGTGCATCTTTGTCTGTCACAGTTCCAACACCTCCCTGTCTCTCCCACCTTCTAAGAACAATCATCAAGTCCCTTCAATTACAGAAGTAGCCCTGCTTCCCAACCACATAAGATCCATAACAAAGCTCCACTTCCTTGGCCCCGCCCTTCCTTGGCCCCGCCCTTCCTTGGCTCCGCCCCTGTGCCAGCTTAAGCTTTGCCTTATGAAAAGTCCTGTCCAGCAGCTACTGCTGAATTCCACTGTGACGGACTGGAGGTTGTCCCTGGACCTTCTGGTGGAAAGCACCGACACCACCATCCACCATCTGTCACCCCTACGTATGGTTTCTTTTCTATCGTTACGATAACATATGTGTGACGAAACATTTCCGACTCTGGCTTTTTGTTTACCTATAGCTCAGTGGTGTTAAGCACATCCTACGCATTTGTATACTTTGATATGAAGGATATTTCCCAAGCACAACCGCTAATGATCTGCTTGGTCCTACGTTACGGAAAATGGCAACATAGTGGTCTATTTCCCTGTCATATTACACCTGGTACTGATTACAATATTGAAGCAATAAATTGCTCGTTAGGAAAAAAATAATAGAAGGAAAGAATGTGAACTTTTGTGTATCTCTCTCTCGCACAGTCTCCCTCCTGGCCACCAGTCAAAGATAAACTGTTTCAGGGCTGGTGGGATGGCTCAGCTGGTAAAGGGGCTTGCTGCCAGGCCTGACGACCCGAGTTCGATCCCCGGGAACCGCATGGTGAGAAGAAAGAACGAACCTGAAAGTTGTTCTCTGACCTCAACTGTGACATAGGCACATGAGCACACACAACACAGACACACTAAAGACAATAAATAAATTATAATAAAAAAAAAAAAACCCAAACCCAAAGAGGTACTTAAACTCCCCCCCCCCCCCCCCCCCACACACACACACATTTTTTTTTTCTGTTCTTTAGAGACAGTGTCTCACCATGTAGCCCAGGCTGGCCTAGCATACCAACGTACACACACATACACATATATACTATATACACATAATTTTTTTTTCTTTTTGTTACAGACAAGGTCTCACTATGTAGCCCAGGCTGGCCTAGAACTTGCTATTAGCCCAGGCATACCAACGTACACACACATACACATGTAGCCCAGGCTGGCCTTAAGCTTACAGTGATCCTCCAGCCTCTGCCTCTGCCTCACGAGTACCAACATGCCTACCATTACACATTTCTAATCCAAATGGACTAAAAGTTCTTTCAAAAAGTTTTTAAATGTAATTGTGTGTGCGGGTGTACATGAGTACCGGTGCCCACAGAGGTCAGAGGCAATGGATCCTTCTAGAGCTGAAGTTATAGGAAGGTGTGAGCCACCCAACGTGGGTGCTGGGAACCAAATTTGAGCCTTCTGGAGGAGTAGTCCAGGCTCTTGAGCACTGAGCCATCTTCCCCACCCCTGACTCAGGGTTCTTAGATTATGCCATACTGTTTTTATTTGTTTATCTTGTTTTGCAGTTCTGGGGTTGAACCTAGGGCCTCCAGAATACTAGCCAAGCACTACAATCACTGAGCTACACTTCCAGTCCCCCAACTGGTCTTTCCTTGAGTTCAAGACAGGGTTTCATGATGCAGCCTAGGCTGGCCTGGAGCTTGATATGTCACCCTAGCTGGTCTTGAACTCGTGACTCTCCTACCTCGGCCTCCCGAGTGCTGGGATGACAAGTGTGCCTTATTCCCAGCTTTTTTACAACTTGTTTTGAACACTTAATAATAGTTTGTGCCTTTTTCATGTCACTTCACATGTGTGATGTATCTTCAGATCTGCCCATGGGCTAGAACGAGGCCAGCAGAACTTTAAAACGACGCCTGCGATGTGTCTCCTCGCGTTCCTCACGTGGGTCCTCACCCTACCTTTGTCTCCCGTCCTGGTGTAAATCTTGGGGAGCCGGTGTGCCTTCGAGGATGACTGTCCCCTAATGAGAAACAGACATCGAGACACGCTAAGAGTGCACCCCGGTGAGTGCAGCCCAGCTCGCCGCCTGCGGCCTCCGTGGCAGCATTTATCTCCGCTTCTGGACGGCAATCTCTTGTCAGCCATTTCCTTCACCGTCCCTTCTAGACAAAGTCCCAGGTGGGCAAGCTGAGCTTCGTGTCCACGTCTCTCCTCATACGGCAGCTGCTTGACACACACTTGCTGGAGGAACTAACTGGTCATTCCATATAGTTCACGAGCTTCTGGAATCACCTCTCAGCTTCTCCCACACCCCCAAAGTCAGCCAGTAGCTATTACACTTACTTCTCTGTTGAGGAAACCGTAGTCCACCAAGATTCACCTCCTAGGTCTCCAGAAAGAGGCAGGGCTGGGATTCATGCCCCAGACTGTTCTATTGTAAGCCTGACCTGAACCCTCCACAAACTCTTGCCCATAGTCTACCCTAACTCTGACCCTCTATCACAAAGTTAGGGCTTCTTGGGGGAAAGAAAACTGGGTCACTTACATTTTCTAAGGTTTCAAGTGTCACACAAAAATGCAAACACTGTCAAAATGGAATTTGAAAAACTGGTACTTTCACTCTTTTAATTTGTTTTTGATTTTTTTTGTTGAGGCCTGCAACTGGACTCCGGCCTGTGGACGTGATAGACAAACATTCTGCCACTGGACCACATCCCCAGTCCTTGCTCTGCCCGCTCAAGAGACTGCCATTTCCAAATAGCAGTGCATAACTGAAGCATGTAGCTTACAAACAAAATGTGACCTCACGAGGCTATTCAAAAGTCAGGGGACTGGGCAGGAAACGCTGATGATGTAAGTCCGTGGCAGTCTGCAGGTTCCAAGGTCCCGGGAGTCCACGGGTACAAGTTTCAAAGTGCTACCACGTCTTCCTTAGATGATGCCTGGTGTCCTCTAACTCTAATCCCCACAAACCGCTCTGGAGAGCGGACAAAATCCGAGCAGAGGGCCCTGCTGGCCCACACGGTCATGCCCTGCCCTGCCTGCCTACAGCTGGACCGAGTTACAACTTGTGCCGAGAAATCCCGGCCATGCGACCCAGTGACGTCAGACCACAGAGCACGTCATCGGTGTAACGTACACCACGGAGCCAATGCAATTATTTCCCCCTCCTCCCGCCCCCCAGGGTTGGAATTACGCTTCGAGCCTGACACTCACCCATCCCCGTCGTCCTCGCCCTGAGCACCGCGGCTCTGAAAACGGAGACCCAGCAGCCTGCAGGCGCCAAGATGCCCGCGCAGGCCAAAACGGCCCCCAAAGACCCACACAGCCATGCGCGCGGACCAGGAGCCCAGGGCTGACCCGGCCAGGCACCCGTCCAGCCCCGGGGATGACTCCGCCCCGCAACGGGCCGCGCCACCTCTCAATCGCCGTTTCTCATTGGCCCGCGGCGCTCGCACCAGGGCGGGGCACTCCCGGGGACTTGTTTCCCATTGGGTTACGGAAAGAGTAGGGCGGGGAAAGCCCCCGGGCTTGTTTGACATTCCCATTGGTCAACGTCCGACCCAATCCGCAAAGGGCTCCTCAGCTCGAGCTCTCCGATTGGCTGGAGGGAAGGCGCGCCCGCCTCCGTGGGGCTGTGCGCTCCGGGATGGAGAAGACGGCGAGCTGCTGCTGGGGTGTCGGCACCCCTGGACGCCGGCCGTGGAGGGTGAGAGTCCTGGGCTGCGGGGCCGGGCGGCGTGAGGACCGGGGCCCCGGACGCCCCAGGCCAGGCGCCCCGTTCCTCTGCCTTAGTTTCCTTGATCGGAGCGGTGGGCGACATCAGATCGGACAGTTCCCTGAGAAACGGGGCGGGGTGGGGGGAGCGGACCTCGGTGACTTAGTCTGTAGTGGGGTGGTTCGTGGGAGGGAGTGTTCTCGCGACGCCTTAGACGCGGGTGGTTTTGCATTATCTATAACCAGGTAAAATGCACGCGCCCGAGAATCCAGCAAAAAACACTCCGTGAGACTCGGGTTTGCAGAAGCTCATGTTGAGATACGCAACACCCGGCGTAACAGGTCAGCCCCGCAGCCTTGTTTATAATTGTGACAGGTTGGCTGTGGTCTCGATGTCCGGGGAGAATTCTTTTTTTTTTTTTTTCAAGATTTTGTGTAAACCTCCCTTTTCCACACCATCAATACATGGCCCTCCTCGTGATAGGGCAAGCGCTCCACTACTGAGCCATGCACTCGGAGGCCATGCCCGTTTCTACCTTCAGTAGTGATCGCAGCAAAGGCTGGAACCGAGAACCAGCCAGTGCTGGGTAGCCACCTAGTCAAGCAGCTGTTTTGGCAGACAGACAGACAGTCACTGCTGCTCCCCAGTCCTTCGAATCAGTCTCCAGTGGTGCCCCTATCTGAGGTGTAGGAAACAGATTCATGGCAGTTTATGTAAGGAGACATCGCTGGGGAGTGGAAGGGCTGGGGTCCGAATCCAGACGGTTCTTCGTGGTCCAGCTGGCTGGTCCACAACACTGTCTTGATAACAATTAGTGCTGGATGGCAGTTCCTATTGTTATAATGTGCATTTTTCTTTTCTTTCTTTTTCTTCCTTCCTTCCTTCCTTCCTTCCTTCCTTCCTTCCTTCCTTTCTTCTCTCTCTCTCTCTCTCTCTCTCTCTCTCTCTCTCTCTCTCTCTCTCTCTTTCTCTTTCTAGACAGTTTCTCTACATGGTTCTGGCTGACCTGGAACTCGCTCTATAGACCAGGCAGGCCTCAAACTCAGAGATCCACCTGCCTCTTCCTCCCGAGGGCTGGGATTAAAGGCGTGTGCCACCAAGCCCAACTTTCCTGATGTGTCTAATGAACATCTAGGAACCTTTGTTCCTCTCTCTGTCATTCCTTTTCAGGAGTCTCAGGAGCCATGTTTTCGGAAGCCCTGCTGGTATCCGCTCCGGGGAAAATCATCCTCCATGGAGAACATGCTGTGGTCCATGGCAAGGTAAAAAGTCCCCAGAGCCCTGAAGGGCTGGGAACCACTTCTCTCTGACCCTGAATTTGAAGATGGTAAAAGAAAGGCCTGGGGGGTAGACTGGATGAATCACTCCAACTAGACAAACCCTTAAACCGCTAAAGGGCTTCGGCATGATCGCAGAAAGATGGCGTACAAAACCTGACAGGTTGAGTGGAATTACCCAGGGAGTGAGGTTGGTAGAGGGGTAAAGGACCCAGAGGAATGGACTGGGAGCATCCCAGTGTGGAGGAATTGTAAAGAAGGTCCGGTAGAGGTGTTGGACACATTTCTTATGTCATTTAATCCTGAGAGCTAGCCCAAGGGTGCAGCTTTGTAGTCTTCTATTGGACAGGTAGGGAAGCTGAGGCTTAGGAAAGGATTGGTGACTTGACCAAGCACAGGATACCTTCATAATGCTGGGAATGAGCCTGCGTGGGTCTGAGCCCAAAGCTTATATTTTTTCTCCATTCACTCCAACTGTCACTTTATGGTTTCGTGTGTGTGTGTGTGTGTGTGTGTGTGTGTGTGTGTGTGTGTGTGTGTTTAGACTAGGAGACAACCTCAGACACCATTCTTCAGAAGGCACTATGTGCCTCAGATCTTGAGGCAGGCTTCTCATTGTCCTAGAACTCGCTGGAATGGCGAGGCTAAATGGCCAGTGAACCCCCGGGACCCTCCTGTCTGCACCTCTGAAACCTACGGATGTTGGTCCATGAGCCACTGCCCTCAGGCTTACTGCCTTTGCCCTTTATTCTGCAGGTAGCCCTGGCGGTGGCCTTGAACCTGAGAACATTTCTACTGCTTCGACCACA